ATATGAATTTAATATAACTAAAAATAAGCCTGAAATAACAGAGTTAAGAGAAGAAGAAGATTATAAAATAACATTTCATAATGGAAGGTTGATAAAGAAATCAAAAAATCTTAGACTACCTAATAAAAAAGAATATTTGGGAGAAACTAGTGGTATAAAAGAAATAAAATTTCATGGAAATATTGGAAATATGAAAATAGAAGGAAAATATTTCAATGGTAGAAGGTATATAAAAGGACCAAATATATTGATAGATACAGGAGCTGGTGAATGTCATATGGCTGCAAATAAAAATGAAGGATTAATGACTTACAAGATAGAACCATATGAATACAGAAATTTTGATGGACAACTATATATTACAAAATTAAAGGTAAAGGTACCAATAAAAATAGGTGGGATTGATCTTTTAGTACCATGTTATTTGGATGAAAGTATGGATATTGAACCTCGTATATTATTAGGAATGAGTTTCTTAAATGGATTAGAAGATTATAGTATAAAAAGAGAAGGATTATATATAACTCATAAAGGACAAACTACATTATGTAAAATAGGAAGTGGATGAATAATCAAATAAGTTTTTCATTAGCAGTATATATACAAGTTACTATAGTAGAAACAAAAATAACAACTTGTGCCTTAATTGATACAGGAAGTGATATAACAATTTTTAAAAATTTCTTAATAAAATCATGGAATAAAAATAATAGGAGTGACTGAAGAAAGCACTCAAATAATTGATAGTGCTGAAAAAGTTAATATAATACTTGGTAGTAAACAAGATATAATAAATAAAGTATATAATTATAATAACCTAGAATGTGATATATTATTAGAAAATGACTTTATCCAACAATTTCAATACTATAAAGAAAATAATTACATGATAATGTTATAAACACCTTGTGCACATTTATTAAAAATACCAAGAGAATTTAGACCCTACAGAGTTCAGCCAGCCCAGCGTGGTGATAAATGGAAAAAACGACCAATAGTACAAGATGAACTAAAAAAAAAAATTATGATATAAAAAGATCCTAAAAACAGAAATAGAGATAAGTATGGAAAAAATCATAGAACAATTAGAAAAAATTTATGGAGAAAATTCATTATTATTTTGGAAACCATATCATCCTAAAACTAAAATAGAATTAACAGAAAATGTTATAATAAGAGTTAGACCAATAATGTATACCTTACAAGATATGCAAGAATTTAAAATTCAAATAAAAGAACTATTAGAACAAAAGTTAATTAGACCCAGTAATGGACCTCATAGTAGTCCAGTTTTTATGGTTATGAAACATTTTGAGCAGATTAGAGGAAAAATTAGAATGGTAATAAACTATAAGGAATTAAATAAATAAACTAAATTTGATGGTTACTTTTTACCAAATAAAGAAGTCTTAATAAATCTTGAAAAAGGAAAATAATATTATTCCAAATGTGATTGTAAATCAGGATTTTGGCAAATAAAAATGGAAGAAGATAGTATATAATATACAACTTTTAGTACACCTCAAGGAAAATATGAATGGTTAGTTATGCCATTTGGTTTAAAAAATGCACCACAAATATTTCAAAGGAAAATGGATAATATATTCAAAAAGTTTAATGATTTTCTTATTGTTTATATAGATGATATACTAATATACTCTAATAATAAAAAAGAATATAGGAATCATTTATTACAATTCATAAATGAATGCAAAGAGAAAGAAATTGTGATTTCTAAAAAAAATCTATAGTCGAGAAATAAGAAACAGATTTTTTGGGATTATCAATAGATAGAAAATGAATAAAATTACAGACTAATATATCTAAAAAAATAGAAAGCTTTCTAAATGAATTAAAATCCAAAGAACAAATACAAAATTTTTTAGGATATTTAAACTATGCTGAATGATTTATTGAAAATCTCTCAAAAAAAAGACATAAGATACAAATTCTACTTAGAAAAACAAATACTAAAGGTTGGAATAAAGAACATACTGAAATTGTTAAATCATTAAAAGAAGAATGTAAAAATTTACCAAAATTAAGGTTACCAGATGAAAAAGATAATCTAATTGTTAATACTGATGTTTTGGATAAATATTGGGCAGCTATATTAAAAATAGATTTAAATGAAATATACAGATATTCAAGTGGAACTTTTAACCAAGCAGAAATAAATTATACTACTAATGAAAAAGAATTGTTAGCAATTATTAGAGGAATAATAAAGTTTTCATTATTACTTTTATCTAAAAAATTTATTATTGAAACTGATAATTCTTAAGTTGCAGGACTTATTAGAAATAAGTTACCTATGGAACCTCAATATAGAAGGTTACACAGATGACAAGCATATTTATCATTCTACAAATTTTATATTATTCATATTAAAAGAATAAATAACTATTTTGCAGATTTTTTGAGCAGGAATATCGAATTTGAAGATGGATAATATCAAAAATTCATTAATAGACGTCAACAGACGAATGAAATTCCTCATGGAAGAATCAGAAAATATGAAAATTGGGATTGAGTAATTAGAGCAAATGGCAAAATCTATCCAACAAAATGTCAAATTGTTGGTGAAAATCTCTAATTCTCATTCCAAATATACCAAAGAATTGAATGAAAAAATTGTTGATATTACTTCACAATTCGAATCATTAAATACTAAAGAGAAAATACCAATTGATACAATCTAAAAAATACAAAGGTACACAGTTAGGAAGCAGCAGTGGACCCAGCAATATCAAATGAGACATAGCAAGTCCCCGGACGGTAACTATAAAAAATGGTGATGAACATACAAGAGTTATCAAAATCAAAACTGATGAAGATGATGATACTCTTTTATCATCAAAAGAAGAAGAATATAGATCATTTGTCAAAATTGTTTATGAATTGGAAGAAAATGAATCATATTTTATTGCATCAGGAGATCATGTTTATCCCAAATTAATAATTACCAAAGATGCATACCCTTTCATGGTCAAAATGGCGGTAGATTATGGATTTTTGGATTTGATCTATCAAGGAAAAGATTTAAAAGAAATTGACAAATTTGATGATATATTCAGGGCAGATGTTTCAAAATTTGCCCAAGGGAGATCGATTTATATCAAATTTTATTCAATAAGTCCTGAGGTTGATGGAAGGATATATTATCCTGCTGAACATATTATCACAATTGGATATGTTGGCCGAGATTTTCAAATTCAAGTTGGCTGAAATAATAAATCATTGCCTAAAATCAATAAATCAAAGATAAAATCTCGAAGAATTTTGGGGATGAAAATTCTTTACAACATTGCAAAGAACTTATATGATAAAAAATTCAGATGTTTGTATCAATATGAAGGATGGACACTCCTTACGAATAATGGAAAAGAAAAATCTACTATTTTGAAAGAATATATCCAGAAATTTGATACTCATCAAATTAATGGAAGTCTTAGAATAATCCAAAAATCATGCAGATTGAGGTAGTGCCCTACATGCAGACAAGATTAAAAAGATTGATTTTTCAAGATAAAAGATGAATGAAGATAAATAAAAGGGGACCTATCACTACCAAAGCATCTAGCCAGCTGCATATGGAGCCAAAGATAGAGAGGTAATAATAAAAGAAAAGATGCCCTTTTAATGAAAAAGCAAAAAATGCATGTGAAAATGTAGACTCCAGGAGGAAAGGAATAGAGAGGCATGTGAGCCTTTTTCAAATTCTGATGTATACAATGATATAATAAACCAATAATAGTAAGTTTGAGTCATGTATAAATAGAGGTCTTTGGGGAAAGAATGGATCATCTCGAGTTAAAAACCATTTTATTTCCTTAAGTTTTATTCAAAACCAGTTTTTCTGGAAATCCCTTGTATACAATAGAAATCTTGTATAAATCATTATAGAAATAAAATCTCAATATTTTGATATCAGAAAAATATGAGTTTCTAAACTTCCTATCCCATAGATTCTTGACAAATTGAAGAAGATAATCTCTTTCTTACTTTAACAAAGAGAGAATTTTCTTTACTTAAAATCTTTATTCTTAATTCTAAGAAAAGATACAGTGAGGGCAAGAAGTTGAAATAGCATAATTCCCATTGAGGCAAAAGGCCGTTTCAGAGAGCAGTTTGTAGATTCAGATCCTGAAGATCACTCGACTCTAAGAATACAGATTTAAGATCAAAAGTAAGGTAAAATTATTGTCTTTGTTAAATTTAGAAAGAATTCTTCTAATATCTTAAAAGAATCGTAGGGATTATTATTTATCATGTTTGCAAAAACTTATCTATCATGTTATTATTATTCATAAAGTTTGTAAGGAATTATCCAAATGATGCCAAACTATACAATTAAAGAATTAGATAATCTACTAGAAAGAATATTAGAAAAAATAAAAAATATTTTTTTCTCAACTAGAGACTATGAATATATCATATAAGGATTATGATAATTTTAAAGAATTATATGACAATTATATTACAGATTATGCTAATTTATTAGATCAAAGGATAAAACTATATATTAAAATTCGAAATGAGAGAAATAGAAGAATTTTGGAATTATTCCAATAAATTAGGATATTTTGTGTAAAATATATGACAAGTCATTTCATTAAAGATATTATAGACATTTTGACAAAAATGAATAATGATAAGCGGTTTAAAAAAATCCCCCGAAAATAATTCATATAGAAATTTATACACAAACATTTAGCCCTAGAAATGTGCAGCGCCGCCGCGAGATGGTTATCACGTTATACGTCTCTACGCAATTGCACCCTTGCCCTCTCGTTCTCTGTAGAAGAAGGGCTTCTGTGGTGGCGGCGCTGAAAATGATATCTTCAACTTCAACCCCAAACGCTAATCCGAAACTTACACCTATAAACCCTACCCTGAATAATCCCACTTCAGAATCCAAATCCTCAAACCTTCCTCTATTTGCTGATCTCAAGAATGGTGTTTTTAATTCTCGCAACTTCACTCTTTCTAGATGTAATGTTTTGAAAACGGAGTGTTTGCTTGTTGTTGTGTCCTTCTACAAGTTTGCGGATTTTCCAGAATATGCTAATTTTAGGAAACCCCTAAAACAGCTCTGTGAGCAGCTGGTAAATTCCTTTACT